CAGAGGTGGGCATGTGGGAGCGCTCTTAAAGCTCATATTTCTCTGTTGTGCAAATCATAGTTTTTGCTTTCCTCATTCAGTCATTCCTCAAATAGTGTTCAGATTCAATGATATTGTCAAGGGGAACCTCGCTTAATGTGAATGAATGATTCTACAGGAAACAGCTATGTCTAATGCATGGTACGAGGTGCTGTCGATTTTGCACTTAATGGCAATGCTATCATTATCACAAGCTAACTTGTTACTTCTTCCAAGAACATCTGGTGATGGTTATCAGCCAAAAGTAACAGAAGGTAGGCATTACCACATGAAAACTGAGCTATAGCCGATTAATTATGTTTTTTTTATCGTCTCTATTATTATCCTACCATGGCTTGTTAAGTTAACGAGAAAAGTTGTGTTGTCAATGCTTTCTAGAATGAGTATAGCTTTATATGGTTATAAAGTCTTCTCAGTTTCTAAGAGAACTTTGTGTTATAGTACAAAACTGTCGCCTGGATTTAAGAATCAGATGCAGTAATTTTTGGGTGAAACCTAGTATGGTTGACGTAGGAACTCAGTGAAAAATAGTAGGAATTGGAAAATCGGAGATAAAAAAAACTGAAAATCCATTAGATTATGTCATTAAACTCTTAATAGCAGTATGCTGATATGTTAAGGAATTCACTAAGACGAGTGAAAAATGGATTTTGTGTTTGATACTTCGTACTAAGTTCTTTGTTTCACCTGTTTATATTATATTATCAGAAATCTTGTTTTTGTAAGACTTCTAAAGAAAATTAACAAAATCAGTGTATGCAGTAGTTGTCATCAGTCTACCTTTAGGTTGTGCCTTGCATGGCCCTTTCTTTTTCATTGGTCATACTATGAAGGTTCCATTGTTTTTCTTGTTGTTACAGAGAGTAGGCGAGCTTCCATTGATATTTTCCTGAAGGCAGCAGGATACCTTGATTGTGCCGTCCGACATGTTCTTCCACAGTTGCCTACTGAGCTCAAGTTTGTATCAGTTTAAAATTTGCACTGATTTTTAACTTTCTGCTTGTTATCATGTTCCTAACGCTGTTATTTATAATCTTTTGACTATTCCTTGATTGCAGGAGAAACCTGCCAATTGACTTAGCAGAAGGAGTTCTTCGAGCGCTTTGCCTACAAGCATTAGGACAGGTAGTAACTTTACTTAAAGGGACTGATCTGGTAAAATGTTGCATTTTATATTTCAGGATTTATGCTTCTGAAATGCCATCTTTTACTATAAAACATAAGTATTGCAGTCAGCCTGAAGTTGTGAACCTGTCCTGCTTAATGGGCACAAAGGGTACAACTGCAATACGTTTGGTTTTTCATGCATCTTCTTTCTTTCTTTTTTGACATCTCGTTATCGTCCAGCGTATCCCGAAAATGAAATTTAGTTGGAACCTTGTGTCTTCTGACTATTATGTTTTGCTGACCCTTTTATCTTTTGATTTCTTTGTTTTATTTTATAATTTTAACTTCATTCTTTCATTCTTTCCACCTGTCTCCTGTAGGGTGTTGATATTCAACTTGGAATGGCAATAGATAGCACAAAAGCTACACTTGCAGTGAAGCGAAGGCTTGCATGTGAAATGGTGAAGTATTGGCAACAGGTAAGAAATTTATCATGATTGCTGGTTTGATCTTGTCAATAAGTAATATCATTTAATGTCTGGGATATTTGTTATAAATTTTCCATGCTTCCATTGTGTTCCTGTTTTAATTCATCTCCTTTGGCTTATGTGCATTTTGAAATTGAACCTTGTGAATTGAGTTGGAAAGAGGAAACAGTAGTCAGCTCGAATAGCATCAGTTTAGGGTCTGAATTTAGATATTCTAGATTAACGGACCATTATAGTGATTCTAAAACCGCGTTGTGAGAACATGATGGATTCCATCGATGGCAAGGTGAAAAAACCAAAAATGATAACAAATATACACCCTCTTTTGTTTGATGCCTTAGGTGAGCTTACCCCATTTATACTACTACTCTATATTTACTAGTGAGTTTGTTTGGTTCTAGGTTATTATCTCTTTCTATCAGTAGTCTTTCGTAATGTGCCGGATTCTCTTTCACAAAGGCTATCATGCCTTCACGTGCATATATGATGCATGCCCATGATGCTGAACTTACCCACATACCCAACATTTAGAATGGGTAAAAAAACAGGAACTCTCTCAATACTCCAAACAAGAGGATCTAACCTCCAATTTGTGCTGTTTGTCTAAAATCATATCCTTATTCAGTATTCCTTTTATTCATAATCCAATTTTTTGCTACATTCTTAGGTTTTCCTGTTGCCCTTCCCGACATTGAGTAATTTTGGCTGTTCTCTATTTGGAGTAGTTGTGAGAAGTTCCTATACATTTCATAACAGTTACATGTCTTATATAAGTTGTTAATTCTTGTGGTTCACTATGTTTGTCATGATTACTCTTGTCATCCGAACACATTATATGTTTGTTGAATCACATGGTGATCCTGAAGCATAGTGCTTTCTTTTTGCCATTTATTTGCAGGCTCAAGATAACATTATGAACCTTCCATTATTAAATGGTTGGGGTGAAAAGCATCGGCTCTTTGTGAAGTGGAAATATGTTGAGGCAAAGGTATTTTGCACTTTCTGCTCGTCTTTTTTATGCTCTTACCACTATCCTTCTAAATTGGGAGCAGCCTCTCCATAAATGGGGGTAAGGCTAGCCGACATTCACCTCTCCCAGACCCTGCTTAAAGCGGGAGCCTTGTGCACTGGGTACGACGACCACTATCCTTCTAAACTTATGAGTTTACCTCCCACTATAAGGATAGTGTCTATGAGAGTAATAAGGAAACCAAAAGCGTGATTTAACATGTATGTTTTATTTATGGGGGGAAAATAGTGGCCTTGTAGTGATTCCTCTAGAAAGCACACTTGCATTTATCTAAAAAAGATATCAAGTTGGTCATTTGTATTTTCTATGTTGGTGATTACTCGCTCATTCGGTTTGTCTTCCCTTGTATTAGATTACGTGCATGCAGATTTTGATACCTATGTTCTAGTTTCTGATACGCTATTGTCTTTTCTGAATGAGTAACTGCCAAATGAAAGTATATTGAACTATTCATGAAGAATCATGTAGTTTAGTTCATTCTTTCGAGTTGATCTAGCTGATAGGGAGGGGTCTTACGCTGCTAATGATGAATATTTGATTTCAATTACGAATTACGATTGAAGTTTGTGTTCTGAACAGCTAACCAAAGTTCTTCCAATTTTAACCTTCCCATTTTAACCAGGCTGCTGCATATTACTATCATGGTTTGATCCTTGATGAGGGTAACACAGAAAAATTTCATGGGATGGCTGTAGCTGCTTTGCAAGCAGCAGATGAGTATTTCAAAGAAAGTAAGAAGGCATGCGAAGCATTTAATGCTGCTCCCCCTTTGTCGAGGTGGGTAGAGGCTGGATTTGTGTATTCATTTTGCTAATTTCATTGGGTGGCATCTAGCAGATTATCTGCTGTTTTTTCTAGGGGCAATAAATTATATGCTGTAGCCGCAATATCTTTATCCTCTCTCCCTATCTCCATGAACGTCAAACACAAACATGTACCAGGAACGAACATAAAATTGTCTTTAGTATGAGATTTGCAACTTTAGGCCATTAAGATGGAGTTCAGTTTCTACGAGAACTCTTCCTAAGAAAACTGTCTCCTAAATTATCTACTCTAGAGTCTAGTCCAATCTCTAGATATTAGCAGAGATTATTCTACAGGCCCTTCTTGAAATTTGTGTGCGTATTGTGAAGATCTACCTTCTCGTATGTAGCATTGGATGTTTCAAGATTGAAATGTCCATTAGCTGATCAGCTTTCTTCTTCTTGTCAATCGTTCTTCTTTTAATGGTTAAGTGCTTTTTTACACATTATGCAGAAATCCACCGCTCTGGGGAACCATGAAGTATCTATCTGAGAAAATTCCAAAAGATGCTTCAAGCAAAGTGCGGATAAACCGTGATCTGTACTCACACGAGAAGTATGTCCTGTTCCTGCCTGAGAGAACTATTACCAATAGTATTTTGTTTATGCCTAAATGCAATCTCCTTTTCACTCTTGGCACCCCTAATTGCAATCTCAGTGTTCTTGGCTGATGATACATAGAACAAACCCTCGGGAATAATTAACGTCTGGTTTTGGATATTTCAACTGCAGAATCATGGAGACAGCACCAACATTGCCCGATTTTGCATTGGCCTTGAAACCGGATGAATTCCAACTTCCTCCAGTAGACCCCTCTTGGAACATGGAGCACATGAATAAGGGCTCCAACCAGCTCAGGAATGACAGAATATAAGCAATATATGAGAATAGTTTTCTGCGTTACAGAGTAAAAGTGACCGATCCAGAAGTGCAGATGGCCATTCGAAACTGGGTGGATTATTCTTCAATCGTTGTGCATCCATTTTTCCTTATAAATTTCTTCTGTTCCTTCTCCCGTGAGTAATTTACTTTTGATAGAGCTCTGTAAAAGTCTCCCCTCTCTTGTGTGTAAGTTGTTAATTGACTGCTTCAGGGAAAGAGATGAATGATTTGTTTGCAAAGTACCAAAAATGGGGTATTTGCCCATCAAAGTTAATCCAGTACAAATACGTTTGCCCATCACTTTCATTTCATAAAAAAGCATTCTAAAATTATTCTGTTTAAATTGACTGGATTTGTTGGTTGGAAGTTGGATCTTGGATGTCACTTTGGATTTGGAATCGGAGTGCGTCTTGGGTACGGCCACCGCATCTCTCAATCCACCTACTGCGCACATGCTGCTCTATAATTTCTTCTCTAGATGGAGGTAGAGGTGGTGGCTGTAACCAAGACTTTCTCCTGTAATATTTTCATCAACAAGAACCAAGGATAATCAAGCACAAAATCACACATTGTGGCTCCCAACAGGTCGGAATTTCCAACTTGGAACTGCAGCAGGCCATTCTGTCTAGGGTGTTGATAGCTCAAGTTGGCTGTGGATGTTTGTATGGAGTCTATTGACACCATTTTCGTTGTTTGGCGAAAATACCAAGAATACATTCAGTTTCAACAAATGCAGAACTCAGAGTTTATCATCAATAATAAAGCTAAAAGAAGCAGATTTCCAAGTCACTACTTGCAAACAGGTACAAATCTCTATTCAACATGTTTAAAAGTGAGCGGGGAAGGTCTGATGTTTAACTCGAAGAGCTTATGTGATTTTTTCTCCTTTTCCCCTTTTTGTTTTTCAGGTGCCAGGGTCAGGAAAAGTCAATTCTAGTCTTCTCCACCATTTCCGCCATCTCTATCCAATTGCTTTTGCTTCTCTTGTTCCCCTGCTAAAACAAAAAAATACAAAAAGAAAGAGAAAACCAGTTATTAAGCAGTTGATTCTCATTGTCACAGGAGATAGATTAATTAAAGTGTAAAGTGATGCAGTTCCTTGAAACCTTCAAACCAATTTCCTAACCAAATGCAATGTTAGCCTCTTTACATTGTAAGCCAAGCACATCAACGAAAAGACTTGATCTTTTTAATGCAGAGGCTGAACTGAGGCCCCAATTATGGTTCTGAAACTATTTACTTCTCCAGACAATGCAACTGAATATCCAATGGGACACCATGTGAGATTGATATATTTCCCAGTGGGGGAAGCATGACTTTAATAATGGCGAGGAAAGTAACAATGCAAGTTACTGACATACAGCTCAATATTAGGAAAGATGAAAAGAAATATGAAGAGATCAACTGCTTTATTTCTGAAAACAACAATATGGTAATGGTGATCGAAACTTATGGCACACCTTCTAACGAATCAATTTAAGAAAATATTTCATGATGTTCAATCTTTTAAATTTTCTATGGAGGGTGATGGTGAAAATGGTAATTACATACCCATAAGTTTAAGCATTGCCTTTTGTGTTCGCTTTTCAAGCTTATCAAGCCTCTTCTGCACATCCCTGCGAAGTTCCCAGTTTGGTTTTTTAGGAGCAATATTCACAAATGGGTCCTGAACGTTGATCCAGAATTAGCACATGTAAGATAAGGAACAATCCCTTTGAAAAGCACAGATGCTAGTGATTAACTGAATAAGAGAGTGGGCCTCGAAATTCAAAAATAATCAAGCACCTCTTTCTTCTCTGATAGAGGAGGTACTGCTGCAACAGGGTCTTCAAACTTTGGCAGCACCGGTGGAACAAGCTTTCCCCCCTGAAGCTGCTTATCATGAGGAACATAATTTCGGAATTTCATGTTGGCATTACTGCACAAACTTACAGTTTAGGAGGCAGCCATTTTTTCTGGGTCCTATAAACTTAAAGGCCATGAAGAACAGACAAAACCTATGTACCATAATAAGTAATGATATAATGGAAAACATCCTGACCAAGCCTTCTACTATAAATCAACTATCTCACTAAGCTAAACAAATACAACCATGAAATGAATTCCAAATGCTAGTATAAGTGAAGACATAGACCATGAAAAAAAATGGAAGCAGAAGTCTCATATGTGTATGGTACGACAGTATCTACTTCCCAAACTTCATTCAGCTGCTCCTTTTGGGGATTATTCAGGTTTACTCTTGTCCTCACCCTAAAGATCTTGTGCTCACGATGAAACCACATAATCCATAGTTATGTTATCCCCAAAAAAACCCATAATCACATGCATACCTCATGCTTGTAGAGATACATGAAATATTAAATGCAAACAAAACCGTTTAGTATCATCTCAAATGACACATGCGTATGAAATATAAATCCAGAGCGAGTAGGGATTGCAAACATCATGGGTAAACCAAATAATGTTCACATTATCAACCCACAAACTTGTGAATTTAAAATTAATATAATACTTGAATAAGACTATTTAGAAAATGGAGGATAGGTAAGGGATATTAACATACAAAACATGAATAGGATCTACTCACGCTTCGTCACTAATTGCATTGTTTTCATTAGTGTTATCGTGAGCTTGAGCGGAATCCTCATCTGGAGTGTTTAACAGTTCCTGAGCAGCTTTAAGAGCTCTTAGCCTCTCTTGACGCGCTGCAAGTACTTGTTCAACGGAGTCCTCTTCAACGGCCATTGCTTCACCTATAGCAGATGAAATGACATTATAATGAATATATATTTTGGCTTAGCACGAAAGAAATTAAAAAAAATTCAGAGGATTGTTATAATTTACACCAGATTATCCTATCCAGCATGATATTTAACCTTTAATCTGTAACCTTTAATCTTTAATCAAAAGTGGTATTAATTGCAGGTTAAGCCCAAAAGATGTGAAAGAAGTGATTTGCAATAACAACAACTGGCTAAATCAAGAGCCCTAGGCTGGGTTCGTTGGGCAGAAAAAATGAAGAATAAAACAGAAGAGAAATATCATCAGCAGCAGCAGAAATAATAAAAATAAATAAACAAATAGTTGAGGAAAAGTAGCGAGAAGAAGAAGATGGAATACCGGAGAAGACGAAGAGAAGGCCCCGGACTCGTCGTCTGCGGCGCTGCAATGCACTGTTAACACTGTCACTGTGGAATGGAATGGAAGAATTGAGAATTTGAGAGGAAGGAGGAGAAACAAAAGAGGTGGAGACTGGAATAGAAAGACACAGCCGACCACAGGACAGCATTGAGATCAATGGGCTTCTTTTCGTGTTGCATGAGTTGGTCCAAGTGAGATAAATGGGCTTTTAGTGAGCCGAGCCACAGTATATAAAAGGCGTTGGGCCTGCCGTGCGTGCCTCATACGTACATGGAGTATTTTCTTTCTTGTTGGAGTACCTCGTTGAGCAAAAATGGAAGTCGGAAGAAAGGAAGTGATTGATGGAGCAGAAGCAGATGCATATGCAGCACAACAAGCAGCAGTGGAATTGGAATTGGCAAGGAAGAGATGCAGATTTGTGATAGGGCGGATTGAGGGATTGCCAGCTCCTACCAACATCAAACGCACTCTTCTCAAACTGGTTGACTCCGAACTCATTTTTCTCTCCCGCTCCTCCTCCGCCGCCTCCTCCTCCACTTCTTCAACTCCCCTCACCAACATCAAGAGGTTTGCACTGAATTGCTTGCCCATTCATTTTCACATCATCTCATTCTATTATAATGAAATTCGAAATGTATCGTCTGAATCAATGAAATTCCAAAATCAAACAAACAAATAATTATCATCTGGTTTGCTTTTCATTTCTTTACTTGTTTATGCATGAGTTGAGTTTTTTTTATTTATTGTGATTGTGAATGAATGAGTTGAGTTTTTTATGGCATGGCGTCTAATTCTATTTAGTCTCCAAATAATCTAAACCCACTTAGCTGCTTAATGATTTTATCGTGGAAATATATCGACTGAAAAGTAAACAAACAAGTAATTGTCATCTCCTTCGCCTTTCATTACTTGTGAACTGGAATGAAATGGACTGATTTTGATTGTGGAGTGTCTGTCTTGTATTTGACGGGTATCTTTTTTGTTAATTTCAACTGTAATTTTGGCAGTGTCAATATCGGACACATCGAGGCAGTTGTTCACATTCTCCGGCAGCCCTTCATTACTGGGGTTTCTCGCGTTTGCAAGCCAATCCCTTTCTCAACCTTAGCCCCAGTTGCACAGCAAACCGACCCTTGTGTCAACCACAAACACGTCCATGTTGATATAGTTTGCACACTCCATGGGAACCCTGTCTGGATTGTTGTCTCCGACAGGAACCCTAAATACATTACTTGGACTGGCTTCCGATCCCCTTCCCATCATAAGAGTAGGGGCTTAAAATTGCGTATTCAGCAACTCACTGCTGCTGCCCGCTCTGCTGTGGCACTCAAACCTTCCTCGATTATTCTTTTCTTCTCATACCGAAACGGTCTTAGCAGCGTTATTTGTGATAGACTAAAAGAGGAGTTTGGGGCAACTGAGTTTCGATTGGATTTTCCTATTTTAGACTTTGATTTTGATTTATCCGAGGAACCTGGTGACTGGACTAATGTACTTGCCGCAAGAACGTTTCAACAGGCTTGTGTATTTGAAATAAAGGTTAATGATCCAAGGGACACTGTTTTCAGTTCAGAATCTGATGTCAAGGACTCATGCCTGGGAGAGGTGGCTGCTGAGACTTACCAGGATCCGTCTGTCTCAAAGGAGGACACTCAATTTTTCCCTGTTTTCTCTTCTCTGATTTCAAGAATGGGAATTCACTCATTGGATGCAAAAAATGTGGAATCTGTGAAACTGGGGCGTATTCTGGGTGATGGTGAACTTATTAACTTTGATACAACTGCTTTGATTGCTCTTATATCGGGTATTAGTAATGGTGGTACAGACAAGCTTTTGGCTACTCCAGAAAGTGAATTGAGGCAGCGGTTTAAGGGTAACTACGAGTTTGTGATTCAACAGGTTAGTTCTTCATTCTAGTTTTGTGCTTCCCGTCCCATTTTCTTGGAAATCTTTTGGTGTTATAGCGGGACATAGCCGTATTGAAGGATTGAATTATGAACTCAAAAAGTAGTTAGTTTTAGAGTTAGCGTGTCTGTTGGCTCTGTGGTATTACTCTGTGAATGGTCAGTTTTACTTTTAAGATTTAAAATATCTTGAGAAATCCTTTCAATCCAGGCTGTTCAAGTTTATTGTTTTACAGTGTGGCAGATACTTAATAAACACAAACAAAGATGGATTGGTTCAGTAGATCATTGGCAGTCCGTTAAAATGACAACCTATAAGATTTTAACCACTGTTACTCTGTACATTGAACTTCTTATTATATTTATTTATCTTTTCCTTAAATATTTCTTATGGTATTTGCTATCATGCTGACTCATAAAGTTTGTTTATATGCCTCATCAACCATTTTTTCGTTCTGGGAACTAAATAAAATTATCCACCTTTCACAAGATTTATGTTACATTAACATCCAATCCAGGTTAAGGTTTCTTGATATCCTGCCAGGTGATGTCTGAGATTCAGAATCCAATTCTTGTTGAACTTGGTCGCGCAATGTCTGGAAAGAGAGGCATAATCTGTGAAAGTGTCCTTTTGGAGTTCAAAGAGTTAGCATTTATGTGTGGTGGGCCCAATGAGAACTTGAGAGCTAGCCATTTGCTAAAGTATCTTACGTGAGTTTTCCTACCAGTTTTTTGTTACTTCTTTAAACATTTTTTTGTGTCTGCCCCAATTTCAAAAGGATATAAACACTGACATTATAGAAAAAACTAAGGGTCCATTTGATAACAACTTCTTTTTTGTTTTTTTAGTTTTTAGTTTTCATTTTTGTGTTGGAGATAGAATAAAAACATGGGAGAAAGAGAGATAAAGAAGAGTGGAGGAAGGATGCCGGAAGAGATGTAGCAGAAATGTATAAGGAAAAGTACACAAAATGAAAACTAAAAACCAAAAACTGTTTTAAGTTGTTTTTCCTTATATAATTGGCTTCGGCCTGCGGAATGCTTCAACTTAATTGGTGAGTTAACCTTGGGTGTATGATATAGGTCATTGCACATACGAGGAACTTTGTAGATTGAATTTGGAGGATGATGCATGAAATAGACTTACATATTGGCTTCCGAGGTTGGTAAAGCCTAACTAGATTCTAGTGCCCTCAGTCTAGGACATTAAACATATTTTGAGGTTATTTATTTAATTAGGAAATGAAAATTTATAGAAAGAAGGAAATGAGCACTGCACATTTGTGATAACCGACCAACCCTGGTCTGCATTGAGGTTCAAACTGAGTTGTATGGACGTTGGTATGATAGGTTTGATGATTTGCTCCTTTATTATCTATAGGGTCTGTATCTGGTTAATCATTTTCCTTTTGTTGGTATTATCATGCGCTAATAACCTTTAGGACTGGTGCAGGGTTGTTCCTGATAGTCCCTCTGAACGCATGATGAGCCTTCCAACCACTAGAAAACTGGCTTTGAAGAATAAGGTTGTTTTTGGTACTGGTGATTCCTGGTGTGCTCCAACTGTAACGGCAAATATGGCATTTGTTAGAGCAATTTCACAAACTGGGATGTCCTTGTTTACGATTGAGCACAGACCGCGGGCTTTGACTGGTGATTAGTTCTTCTATGTTGTCCTGATATTTAGAAGCCAAACATGCTTCCATGGATGGCAATGAGAGGTATTGTTAATCCACTTTATAAATTGAAGTGGTTGGGTCTGTATCACATAAGATGCACCCAGAATGACTGGAACGTACAGGTGACAAAATCCATCAGGTGTTCTGGTTAGTTCAAGTTGAAACTGATCCTGCAGGTCAGTTCAAGTTCTGATTATGTGATTCACTCTGCTCGTAGATCCTTCTAGTTATATATTTTTAACTATTGTAGGACACATGACATGACATTTTATCGATAGACATGACTCTATGTAGATCTGTACACCATTACATATAAAATACTTTTTTATTTCCGTCACAACTCAATGGCTGCGTTTACTACGAGAGAAAACGACAACTGCATTGATGGAAATACATATGGAAAGTGCTTCCATTTTGCGTTTGGCCAGTCAAGGCTACATTGAGTAGAGTTTTGTTCTGATGAGCTTGGTAAAACTTTGGTAGCGTCATAAAGCTTCGTGGTTGTATACCACACACTCAACCGGCCACCTTTCTCGTAGTAAACTCCATTTCTCTTGTTTGGGTAATTGGCTGTTATTTGACGTCGAATTGAGCATATAAGGTCATGTCCAAATTGTGCCTTAAGTCGCTAATCTTCAAGCTATCATCCGAGTAATTAGGAAGTTTAGGGTGGAAGATGAGATAAAGGAGCAGAGTGATTATTCGCCTGAAGCAGAAGCAGAAGCAGCTTCGTTTTCTCTGTCGCTTTCTCTCTCTGTAGTTGATGATGATGATGAACTGTGTCCATGCAGTAGCACCACCGGAGGCATGGGTGGTATTGCAGTTGGTGGTGCCTCCACATCTCCAGCAGGATGAACACCAACTCTCTGGTGATCAGCCATCTCTGTTGTTAATTAACTTTCCCTCATGTCTACGTTTCCAGTCCGTGTATATAAATAAGCATGTAGGTTTCCTAACGTTTGCGTATGGTCCTCCGGCCTTTCTTAATAATATTCCTACGACTTTTTTGGGAGAAAAAAAGTTTTGATCACAGATCACCCCCTCACCTACTCAAAACGACAAACATATCGCAATTTATACTTACAGCGCCAAGTGTATATATAGGATGTGCGGCGGTTCAGCCAATCAAGTTAATAAGCATTCAAATGCGAATAATACCTTGGTAGCCTTCATCCCTTGTCAGTTACAAATTCAAAATAGCATTCCTAAAACCAAGTTATTTTGACCTTCAAGGTGTATAGTAGGTTAATTTGTTCATTCAATGTTTCAAACAAGGGTGAAGTGTAGATTTAGTCCCTGAACTATCACTCCAGTGAAAATTAGGTCCCTGAATTATTTTTAGGGATAAAAAGTCCCTAAATTTATTAAAAATTGCTAAATTCATTCATACTATTATATTCAAAGCTATTTTATCCAATTTTTCGTCAACTTAGGTTACTTAACACACTTTAAAGTATAATATTATCATTTTCTCGTCTATAAACCCTTAACATTTCATATAGGTTGCAAATTAACGTCCAATTTACCATCAAAAGTTAACTTACAATATTTCTTTTTGAAAAACTACCAATTTATCCTCCAAAGTTAACTCCATACACAATTTATTTATGAAAAACTACCAATCTACCCCCAAATGTGTATCACATGCAAGTAATGTGACTTAAATTGACGGAAAATTGAATATAGTAGCTTCGAATATAATATTAGAGATGTAATTGACATATTTTTATAATTTAAGGATTGATTTTTTCTGAAAAAATAGAGATACAATGATTGACAAAGATACAAGGATTGACAAGCGTCCAAACTCAACAGACAAATTGGAATTCACCCACAAAATAGAAAACTCTAAATATGGTTGATAATAATATGACATAATCTGAATTACAACTTCGATAAGCCAAGCCTTTATATAGACGTCAAACTCTAATTCTACTACTAGGACATGTAAGTCTAGTAAATAAACGAAACACAAAAGAAAACTAATAAATTCTTATAAAACAGGAAAAGACAAAAATAGCCAAAACTCAAACTTTCCTAAAATTTTAAACTCAAGTCTCTCTTTTCTCGAAGCCTGCTTAAGCTACTAGCAAATATGCAACAATGACTTGTTGCCTTTTCCTTTGCTAAAAACCAATGTTTTCTCATTTTTGCACCATTATTTCTTATTTTGTACGACTTTTGTTTCTATGAATCTCTCCACTTTGATCGACCCCTATTTTCCTACATCAATCCATCAACAAAGGCAGGCTTCACATATGTATATATCATTCAACTTTGTGCCTTTTCTTTTAGAAACTTGAAATACAATATCAAATTCATTTATTTTCCCCCAAGAGAAGCTTCAATTTGATTGCCACGCAACAAATGAAAGAATCTCCAATTCAGTTCTCGAGCATGAACCAAGTAATTACCGAGTAATACGGTTGGTGGATACAAATTCTCTCTTTATGTTTGTAAATAATCTTTGACATCAATTGCATACATGGATATTGATTGGATTCTTTAAACTAAAATTCACTAATGTTGCAACAGGGAACAGTTTACAATAAAGTTTAAACAGCTGGGGGAAGGAAGGAGTGCCAGTTACTTGAGCTAGCCTTCCAACTTCCAATGGAAAGGATTATTAATCACAGATAATTATCCTCCACGAGTAGATAAAACTTGATCAGAACAAGGATGGAACAATCAAATCTTGCATGTAGGACGTACAAAGGCAATTTGTGCTCTTGTTCTATCAAAGGACCAAGGTGACAAAACAAGGGAAAACTAGTTTTCCATGTGGATGACACAACGCAAACACTTGCCTTCTCGCATGAGATTGAAAGCTTTATTCACATCTTCAAACGGCAGGTTATGTGTTAAGTACTCATCAACTTGGATTTCCTGCATTTTCCAATTAACAAAACATACGTTTTATAATTAATAGGCTCTGTGTACTTTTTGTTAATTCAAAAATTCTTCAAGCAAAATCTTTTTCATAAAAACAAGGCCAAACTGGAAGGCTTCAATATTATTATTTTGACATACTAAAAATGCTTCGGAAACTTCAACAGTTATTCAATTTCTATTTGCTCATATAAAAGGAAATGTTTCTGTGATCACGTTGAATCATCGAGACATTAGACATTTATCAAACTAAAACATGCTAAAGTGTTAACAAGAGCTCTATTGCTTAGACATCCCCCCTGTCGCATTTTCTGGTAAGTACCAGAGTGCTAGGACCGAAGATGGTCTGTAGATTACCTAAACTACATGAGGACATAATGAATTCTACCATAATGAAAGGTAAAAGGACACTTCATATTAGATGATATATCTTTCTTGAAGCTTCAGTGGAATTTTAGTTAGTTCAATTACCTTTTTTGTGTACATTTCTACTAAGGAAGGGAGATCAGTTTTAGGTTTCCATCCTCCAAATAGCGATCCCTTCAATGTTCTTCCAGTAAGAAATGCTCCATAATGAGCTGTTATTTCGGGCTTCACTTTGGCATTCCAAGTGTAACCGTCAAACCCCATCCCTTCAAGCAAACGCCATATAAAAACGAGGCCAAGTTGAATGAATAGAACTTCATCAATTTACACACAAAATTAAATATGAGATATGCTTAAAAAGAAAAGGAAACCCTGAGATATGAGAAACTTACATCGCAACATGCCTGCAATGCAGTAGTTACCAATTACCATCCCAGTGTCACCTATACATTCAAATGAGTAATCTGCTCCACCGCCTGTCATATGCTTAATAACCTGAAAGAACGTTAGCTCACATTTTAGTTTCAAGACAAATGATATTCAAGTTGATCCATTATCGTTCCTTACTCACTGTAGAATTCCAATCACCTCATTCAATCTACAACCAAGCTCCAACCATCGGTCACGCTGACTATTTAATTATTATTATTATTATTATTTTCTTTGATAATATTAAATTGGGGGAGGGGGATCCATCTGGACCATATGGTTTAGTCAGAATTACCTGTTGAATAGGTTCTTTGCTGTCATTTGGTTTGATAAATTCTGTAATTCCAAAAGCTTTAGCTGTGTGTACCAGTAAGAGCATCATAATTTAACATATAACTCCAGAATCCAGATAGAAGAAACACATATCTCTCAAAATATACCATTTTCACCCTTTTCAGGATTAGTGTTGTTAGAATTCATCTGTCCCACATCGGCCAGAAGGCTTGAGAACAAGCCCTTTAAATAGAATTACCCTACTCTAACTAACACCGATGCCTTTTGTGATAAAACTCCACATCTGACGGATTGAGTAGGTGACCAAGTGTTGTCCACAATATCGATATCGTTGGAGTAGACCATGACCCGTCTACCTGAAATTTAACATGGTATCAGAGCCAGGGGAAACCCCACACCTGATGGAACGGGTGAGCCCCGACTTGGCTCCACGTGGTTGCCGATGTGTGGAACTCCACGTGTGACCCATAAAATGAGGTCTCAAGTGCGGGGGAGTGTTATCCCACTCTAACTAATACCGAGCCTTTTTGGATTAAAACCCACCCCCCACACCTGACGGATTGAGTAGGTGATCAAATGAGGACATTATCGATCTTGTTGGAGTGGACCAATGGTCCGTCTACCTAAAATTTAACAAGTGTCAACACCAATTATTTGAGATGCTCCCCTAAGCTTTGCACCCTGTGAAACCTATCACACACGAAACCATTATTGTTTGAATTATATGCTGCATTGCTGCTGCTGTCATTTTTGCAAGGCCTACTGTACCGATATAAAGGTAAACCTGTACTTACAGAAAGGCCTACTGTCCCAAGACCGAATATCACCACACTTGATCCATTAGATATATCAGCAATGTTCGAAGCTGCACCCAAGCCTAAAAATTTGTATCCATACATAACATATGTTAGATATGCTTTTCGTTGACCAAGAATTGTCATTACCAATACGCATACAGCCTACATAGAAGTCCATGTAGCGGTGTCTGAGGGCTATCATAAACTGAAATTGCATTCCTCTACCAAACCTTAAACCCTCTGAGCTATATATGTATGCATACATCATGTGTATGCATGTATCATGCGATCTCATGGCAATATCAGCAAGACTTGAAACTCTACCTCCAGCTACTCCACAACTGAGAAGGCATACTTCCTCCAGAGGCACAAGTGAGCTGATTTTGACAGCACATCCTGAGTGCACCACAGTATATTCGCTAAAACTTGAAACTGCACAATAATGGTAAACGGGCTCCCCAGTGGCATTTATAGAGAAGCGTGTCCTCTGATCGCAGTGCATTACGCCTCTCCTTTCAAGCCCCAGGAGATGGCAGATGTTAGTTTTACCCGATGCGCATTGCCTGCATT